TATTTTTTTTCAATTAAACAAATTCGCGTTATTCTTTTGAACAAAGATTAAAAATAAAAATAAATGACACACGCAAAATATGCATTGCAATAAAAAAAATATAATAATAAAAATTTTTTAATGCCTTATCAGAATAATATCAAAATTTATTTTCTATACAAATAAATGTTATAAACATGCCATTAAATGCGCGAATTTCAACCAACAAACTAAAAACAAAATTAATTTTTTCCGACATTCACTTGTTCCTGCAAATAACGCACACATGCACATATACGTACATTATCTTTGATATCATATACTCGTATTTTATTAAATACGATTTAAAAAATTTTTGTACGATTTATTAAAAGTTATGTGAGGCATTAAAATTCTTTCAGCGATAGCATCTTCTCTAAATTTTTTTTATGTAGTCACAAATCATTTATTTTTTTTTATAGCTTGTTTTATAAATGTATTTAACGTGTTAACTCAGAATGAAAGAAAATAAATGTTTTTCATTTTTTGCTTTTTTCATCTAGAATCTAATATCACATCCTTACACATACATAATTATCATTTTCATTTATATACGCGAGATTAGGAATATACACGTATATCGTATAAAAAAAAACGGCATGAATTTCATATCCTCAATTGAAGGTTGCTTATCATTAGGCAAATAAACATTAAAAAGATAAAAAAGAAAATATACAAAAATTCTCTAAGGGATCAGGATAATTAAAATTATAAAGAAACAAAGTTATAGATTGTCTATTCCTATATTATAACGATCTGTTTATCTACATTTCAAAAAAAAAAAAGGAAAAAAAAATATCAACAACATTGTAGAAAAATCATTTTAATAGCATTTTAAGAATTTAAGAATGAAGAGATGAAAATGCCAAGATAAATTCCACAAATTCTTTTAATTAAATTTAAAAAAAAAATGAAATTGGGATTCAATTACGGAGAATTTTTTGAGTATGAAACAGGGAAATGAATTTGAACGATATGCGATTTACGCACTTCATTAATAATTCACTGTATCCAATTTAAAAGTTTTGAAATTGAAAAAATGTTCACCACAATAACAGTGGTGTTATGACATAGAGCAAAGAATATTCACAATATATTCCACTAACAATTTCATTATAATCCGGTGTAAAATATCTAGAGCATTATAGAATAGATAAGTGCATAATATATGCTTCAATACAAGCTAGACAATTCCAATACTCTAAAAGTATGTCAATAACTTTGCAACTTTGTTAACAATTAAAACTTAAAAGAAAGTTCAACTTGCAAATTTTTATAATCGTAGAATGAATATTATTCCAACAATATACTATAAAACTTATATAGTGTGTGTATGTTTATTTGTTAGGTGTTGTTAATATTGTAAATTACTTATTTGTAATTAACAATCATTTCCTCCAAAGATTTTTTTTTAAACTCAAAAGCACTTATTTTCTTTTAGATTTAAATATACACGATGTTACGATATTACCATTATTACTGACAAAACGCAATTTACATGGTAAATGAACATTGGACGTTTTGCAAAAATAAGTTCGTACTCGTATAATATACACATATACACATATATAATTGATTGAAGTTTAATTTATTTGCGATTGACAACAAGGACTACAACAATTAAAGGGGTGTTTTTAAAGTACATATACCGTAAAATATTGTTAAAGGATTAAAAACATTCGCCATTTAATGAATATGAACTCTATTTCTCTATATATACGAGTATATATGTATATATATGTATGTTGTAAGGAAATTTAATATATATGTGCACATTAAAGATAAACAATGTAATTTACAATACTGTATTTGCGTACATCCCACGTACATCGTCATAGTATCTGTAATATTATAGTAGATATAATTGGTAAGGACGTTCTGCATTAAAATTTTATATTGTGTACATTTAGCGTATATATCATGTATATATATAGTTTATGTGTATATATGTAGATGTAGTATATATATACGGCATATATAGGAAGTTCACTTTTATATTATTGATGCGGTTATAAACCACTATTTTACGCATTAAACAGAAAGTTAATAAAATTTTTAATGTAGAAAATAAAAAAAAAATATAAAAACTTTTCTATCAAATTTTCTCTATGTATGTGTAAGGAAAGAAAGAAATTATGTTAAAATATTCTTTAAGTTTTATTGAAAATTTATTTTATTTTATAAAAAAAAATGTAAAATAAAAATTAGCACATCTAATGGGAAAAAAAACATTCACTTAAAATTCATTGAAAAATGGTAAAATAAAAATAAAATTCTCTTTTTTAAGCCAAGTTCACCGCTATCAAAAGAATTCTTGCATAATAATAAATATCTTACATCCTTTTATAAAAATTAAAGATAAAATTTATTGCTAGGTCAGCTAGGTGTATGTCCGCTAGTAAATACCCAGATTACTAGTGTTTTAAGTTGTTGGATCTTATATTTCTACACTTTAAAAATTTTTATGCGTTTACTCTCGTCTACGCTTATGTCCTCTTTCATTTTAAAATATCATATAATAAATAAATCATCCCTATTGTTCACAGTTTTGTGTTTTTCAAGTATCTCTCTTTAAGTTCCCTATATTTTGTTCAAAAGGTGGCCAAGAAAAACGAAAAATATTTTGTAGTTGCCTTACATATTAAAGGATATGAAATTTAATTAGGTTTTTAATTTATTTTCATTCTTGTTATCTTATTTAATGCTTAGATATAAATATTATGGGCTTTATAGTTTTGTACTTTTAAGATTTTTCTTTATTTAGAACAATTTACTACGAACTTGTATGCTGTATACCATTACTAAAAGAAAATCTAGTAGAATTTTTAAACATAATATTATAAAAGAGGTCAATTTTCTCATTTTGTTTATTTTTCATTTGCGACTCAATTTATTCATAGATCCTAGTGTTGAAAATTAGCATTACTTAACATATATGCTAATGCATTATATGTGTGTACATTATTAATTCAATTACATTTTTCTCTTTTAATAATTTATTTTTGAATTAAATTGCTAATTTTTTGGTTATATTTCGATTTTAGTCTAGATTATAATTCCAATTTTAGTTGAAATTGAAAATTTAAAAATCAAACTGATGAATGTTATTAATAAAATTAAAACTATTGAAACATAATTTCGGAAAAGTTTTGACAGTATAACATTTTTGCTATACTATTGATTTAAAATAAATTGTCTCCTTTTCATAAAAATCAAACATTGAAAGGTGAACAGAGTGAGAATTTTACTCCTTGAAGTTTGCTCTTATTTAAGAGTACTCTTTTACGGTATGAAAATTAATATAGAGAACAAGTTATTGTAATCGAGCTAAATCGAGTAATCGAGGAGTTTGAAGTATGGTTTATCATTACTCAATCACATCTTTACTTAAAATTAATTTTATTTTAGAACGAAACTTATTATTAGCAACACCCACCAGTTATAGTTTAACAAATTGAATTATTGAAGTCAATTTATTGTAATTATAAGCAAAACAATAATATCAAATTGATATAAACTATATAATAATTAAATCCATATTATATGCTAGTATCTAATAGTACCTATATAATATATACTTAGAATGACATATCAAATTATATAACAGTATTCAATGTAATTTTAAAACAATAATAACAGAGCAAAAAAAAATACGTTTTTCACAATATGTACAAGATATTTTTTTTTCATACACATACATATGTACTGAACAAAAACTCTTCATTTTAATTTCAAAATCATTAAAAATTCCTTTATACATATATAAAATATTAAATTCTATTTGTTCCATAATATAAAAGTATACAAGTACCATAATTTATATAGTAAAAGTATAATATGAGTACAATTTTAATATATCAAAAACAAACAAAAAAAAAAACGTAATTAAATAGATATTAAAATAAATTTTCCCGTATATATATACATATGTACATACTATATAAATTATACATAAGTATTCCCTAATGAATGAGATAATTCATATAGTGAGGCTAAGGCTATATAACTTCTGTGTCAAATCAGTAAAGCAAAAAAACACTAAAACAATAATATTAAAAATATAGTTACTTGCATAATACAGTAGATTACGTACATACTTACTCACATACCGTACAATATGTAAAATACATGAATGCATACATTTGCATACTTGTTTTTTTTTTATTTAAAATTGTAATTTAATTTTTATCTTGTTATTCGTCCTTTTTCACTTATTTATTTTTCTCTTTTTTATTTCAAACAATAATGTGGGAATATTTAAAAAAAAACTTGTATAAATTAAGTTCTAAATTGAGACTACCTATAGTATGCTGGTAATGTAATATATTCGCCTGTAAATATGCTATAAAAATATTATAAAAGAATTTTAAATTATTATGTCCTTTAACTTATACTCAATTAATTACTTTGGAAAAGGCAAAACCATAATATTTAATTTTCTATTACTTTAGATCTTGTTTAGAGTATAGTAGATACCCAAAGCCCTATCTCATATTAACGTGTATGTCACTTTTTAGCTCACTTTTTATCCATTTTCAAATCAGAATCCTCTCTATTATTGAATAGATACCTCATTTTTCTAATAAGATTACTCATTTTTTCAATTGGATTTTTGCATTTTTTCTCAAATTATCGCCTGAACGCTTTCAAAAACAAATTGAATAAATTTGGTTTTATAAAAAACGAGACACACAATACGGAATAATTCTTCTCACTCGAAAATTGCATTACACAAATATATGGCACAAATAGTTACTCATTTTCTTTTCACTTGCCGAGTAAAATAGCGGGATAGGCGATCAGACCCTAAGAGTAGTGTATGAAAAAATTAAAGATAAACACTTGGAAGTTATGAAAATTATACTAAAAACAAATGGCATTGCAATTAGAAAAAAACCACATCTTGGCCAAGTACCTTGGTACTTTTAAAAGTTTTAAAAATTTAAAATAAAATTTTATTTTAATAAAAAGTTTTCCTTTACCTTCGATGATAATTTCCTTTGTAGAAAATTCAAATTTTTCACTTATTCTCTATTCTTTTTTTATTTTTATTAAATTATTTATTTATTTTTTTTTTTAAATATAAAATACACGATAAACATAAAGCATATTTAAATATTTTATTATTTTTGTGTAGGTTTTTGGAATTAATTTTATTGTTGTCAAATATATTCTGTATATCTTATATAACGGTATAAGTATTAACGCTAAAATAAATATTTGCTGTTAAAAACTAAGCAATATTTTTTATATTTTTCTTAAATTTAACAATATCTTACGTTTTCTTTATACAAAAAAAAAATAGATAAATTTTTTTCTTTTATATTTAAAAATTATGGGACACACTTTTTTTTTAAATTCTTCTGTATTTTATGCACCTTATCATATATAAAAAAAAATTTAATTAAAAAATAATAAAAATAAATATTTCACTTTTTTTTACTAAATTTATATTTGGAATTCAATTTACGAGTGTTGATTTATTTTTCCAATTTAAAGTTTTGTTAATTAAAAAATTAATTTTAGTTTTTCAAATACAATGTGATTTTTTATTTAAATTGTGATTTTTTTTTAATTCTTTTCAAAATTTACTTAAATATTTTGAATTGTTTGTAAGTTTTATAAAATATTTGTTATTTATTTTGTTAATTTTTCTTAATTTTTAATTAATGAAACACATTTAAAATTAATTTATAATTATTTTTGTTTAAATTTCTTTTTCATATTTGACTTGTTTACTTAAAACTTCTTTAATATTTATTTTAATTAATTTAAGTAATAATTTCTCAATTTAAATATTTTGCAAATTTGAAAAGGAAAAATTTACGATTTTAAGATTATAAAAATTTCACACTATTCCTTTACAAAAATTATTTACTTGTGTTCACAAATTATTTACTCATGAGTACTAGAATAAAATTTAATTTAAAAAATTCGAAAACCTTTCAAATAAAAATTAAGATTTAAATAAATTTTTCAATTGCAATTTTGTTTTTAAAATTAAAATAAAATATTTAAATCAATAAAAAATTCTTACAAAAAATAATAATTGTTTTATAAAATTTATCAGTTTTAATTCTGTCAATTTAATTGTCAGCAACTTCACTCTAATTTTTTTCTATAGTAGGCTTTTGATATTATTTTTAAAAAAGAAAATATTTTTAATTCAAAATTACAAAATTTTTCGAAAATTTCTAAAATATTTTTTTATATTTTTTTATATTAAATTTTTCAAAAATTTTTAATTCGGTTTTTATTCCGAAGCACACATCTACTATCGTCGACGGTAGACTACAAAATCTTGAGAAATATTCAATATTTTAATTCAGGAAAAATTTTCCAATTTTCCTCATTTTTTTTTTATTTTTTCATTTTTGTTAGTACGATTTCGTTGTTTTACTTTTACTGTGTTTTTTGTTTTCCTCATATTGCTTTTATTTTCCCTAAATTTGTTCATGGTTGTATAAGAGGAGTTTACAAGGGAAAAGAAATTCATTGATACTATTATATGAGAATTGTATTGTGTGCATGAATCGGAACACAAAAACATGAAAAAGAAAAGCAATAATAATTGTAAGTCTCCCTCTCATTGTGTTATTGAAAAAAAAAAAAATAAAGAAAAAAACGCTTTCCCTTTTTTTCACACAAAAAAAAGCACAAATGCAAGCAAGTAAACAAGAAAAAAATCTGATATTTTCATTATCAGTAATAGAGAAGAGAAAAACAGAAGAGATTGAGAGAAAAAAAGATTTTTGAATTTTTCCGGTTTAAATTTGTTTTTATTTTCTTATATTACATTTTGTTCTTGTATTCGCAATGCAATAACAATTATTGTGTATGAGCAGATAACAGTTATTATGTACAGTACAAGTATGAATGAAGTTTTCAGCCAATTTCATATCCAATTGTATAATTTGAAGTAATATTTTGTTCTCTTTCTAATCTCTTTTATATAGATGGGAATTTTAATGCTATTTTATTAAAAACTCTTCACACTACTACAAAAGAGAACCTATTCCCTCTAGGTATTCCTAAAAATTGTTTTTTTTTTTCTAAATCAAAACAAAAGAAAAAAAAATAATTTTGTACTGATAAGAAAGAAAAACGCACATGTTGTTATATAAAAAGTATGAAATTAAAAAAAAAAATAAAGCAAAAACAAAAGAACAAATTTGTAAAAGGCTCAGAGAAAATTGTACTAAAGAACGCGCATGATTAATAGAACTTGTAATAAAAGAGAACGAAAAAAAGTTTTCTCTGTTTACTTATTGAAAACATTTTTATTTTCTCTCCTATTTTCTTGCATATCTACTATTTTCTTTAGTTTTATACAATTTTATTGCATTGTATTTAAAGAGTAATCACTGGTCAGTATTGCCAATTGTTACAATTTAGCTCAATACTCTTCTGCATAAGTTTACTGTGAACAATAAATTGTCAGGATAAATTTTGAAGTAATCATTCTACAAATCTGATATTATTCAATAAGTTATTTATATTGACCGTATTATGTTATATACTCTGTAATAAATGGTCTACATAAGTATATAGTTTCCAAAGATGATAAATTTTAAAAAAATCTCACGACTTTCGAGTTGTTTTTATTCTGGTTCAACTGCATTTGAAATGAGAATCTGTTTGCTTATTTAAAAACATATAGACAGTCACAACAGCCATTCTTAATTTTGAAAATGCACAACATGGGTCCAACTACATGAAAATTGGTTATTAGAATGTATAACAAATAATACTCGTATTACTATTATTTCTGAAATAAATTCTTTACTTTAAGAGAAAATCTAAGAGAAAACTGTTAAATGTATATTGGTATACTGTATTGATTATGCTATTATATACTGTATAGATGTTACTGTTATACTGTATAACAAAATTTTAAATGAGTAGAAAACAAATTATAGAAGAAAAAATTCGTTGAAGCACATATCTCGTGCATTTAGTTGAGTATATAGTAGAATTAATGACTATTTACATTTTATTTTAAGGATAAAACGAGAGTATCTTGCTTTTTCGGTTGAATTGTAAAAATGTCAACGTTGAAATGTTTCGAATAGATCTTATTGGATTCAGTTTAAATAAGTTGTTCATGGAAATTGCACTGAAAAATTCTACGTATACGATATAAGATTTTTTCTTACAAAAAGAGAATAATCGTAATTTTTGATTTTTGGAATTTTCTTTTAAAGAATTTATGTGCACATGCTTTTTTTCTTTTTAACATTTTAAATTATTAAAGATACATACAGGGTATAAATAATTACTGAATTTTCATTCAAATATTATTGATTTTTATTTATTTTATATATACATATTCATATTGTATTTTATATGTTTGTAAATATGTGCGTATATACACATATATATATTTTAATGAGATGGATATTTATTTTAAATGAAGTTTTAAATTATGAGAATTTATATTTGGAAGTAAAAATATTGATTTTGCTAATAAAGCATCATCTTTCACAAGGGCATTAATTATGTGTATTCCATGTTCTGGAAAGAAATTTATTATTTGAAATAATTTCTAAAAGTTTGTACCATTAAAATAATATATAGATTTAATGTTACTGACGAAATCATTTCGATAAAAAAAAAATTGGAAATAACACCTATGTAGGAGGGATGTGGCACAAATATTTTAAACATATTTGAATACAATAAATGCATACTTAAAATGCGTGTATAGTTTTTCATACACACTCTCAAATAAGCTTGGTAATTTTTGAACATTAAGATGAATTAATCAAAAAATTTATAATGATCAAAATGAAAATAATTTTTTCAATCCGATTAACTATTATTCATTACTGTAAATAGTTCTAGTAATGTGCAGTTTTCAATGGTACTACATCATTGTTTAATTTGATAATTTTTTTTTAAATTTTAGATGGCATGGTCGACAAGAGACAATCTAGTCCTTGAAGTCCTCGCTTAGTGCTTGTTACTTGTTCCCGACAAACCAATCCTTCGACATAAATCCTAATTACCGAAACCCGATCGAAAAGTATTAGGCAGCCCAGAAATTTTTGCTTGTTTTTATATTGTTAATTATTTTTTTTAAATATGACATGAAAACCGTAAACAAAACAAATTTTAATCGGGATAAATTTACTGAACTGCTTGAGTGCGATTATTTTCCAAAATTTTAGGACACTGCTAAAATTTTTTTGTTGATCCGAATACCAAATTTTGTTAGCGAAATTTTCCCTAACCATTGCACCATAAGTAATTCTTCTCTTATCTTAAGCTTCTTAATAACGGCGTTGATTTCCTAGAATCTATATTTTGGAAAAACCAACAACACTTTTCATTTTTTGCGTATTTATTTTTAATCTCTAAATTTTTTTTTAAAAAACCCTGTTTTACTATGTCGGTAATTGGTATTTTTTTTTTGTTTTAAAAAATGCATTATTTTTCAATTAAATATTCAGCAATCATATTAAGCTGCTATGAATTTAAAATACTTGATCCCATATTGTTTTTAATCAAAAAACCTTTGAATATAAAATTTAGAATTTTAATATATTAAAATTGAAATAAAAAAAAATTTTTTTCATCCAATTTATAGTCGAATACAATAAAAGATTTCACGCTGATTTTATTGAATACAAAATTGAACCGATGCAAGTATTCATGTACCTATGTGTATATAGATAAAAATTGAATTTAACTATTCTAAAAAAAATTTTTAACTAACTAGAAAAATATTAATATGCGTAATAAAAAGAAAAAAAAAATTAACAAAACAATTGATTTCCTTTGTTATATTTGGAGAATGCAACCTTAATTAAAATCAATTTGTGAAAAAAACGACTATCATAAATTTTAAGGTTATTCAAATGCTAATAAAGAAAAAGTTAAAAAGGATTTTTTTATTGCTCCATTTGTATTCAGCTCACACCCTACACCAAAATTATGCAAAAGCGATAACAGTGGTCGGTCGCCTAATACCTACGTGCGACCATTTTGCAATGATATTTAAAATACGATCACATTTAAATTATTCAAGAGCATGCAATTTTATCCAAGAGTGCGGGAGTATTTAATCGATATTTTTAAGTTGTAGAGGTGAATCTCTTCCTACTAAAAAATGTTTCAGCCATTCTTAATCATTCAGCCGAATAAATTATACTCCACATCATTGCAGTCTGAATTTAACAACTAGGTTTCAAATGTTAGTCAACTT